AAAAAAGACTGGATTTTCTATTGTTTAGGGAGGAGGCTGTGGTATTAAATGCAGAAAGGAAAACCATTGTCTGTGTTTAAGTAAAGCATGAAGTACAAATGTGCCATGTTCCATACAGGTATCAGTTTCCCAGCTGGCGCTAACATGTAACCTATTTATCAGACCACAAACTTGCCCTCCCATGAAAGGTAAGTGGGTATAAACAACTCAACAGCAAACTTCCAGAGACATTAAACAACAGTTACCTGCAATTTCTTGCAAGCGATCTTCATCAATGTTAGGGTCAAAGTCACTTCCCAAGACATCTGTACTCCAAGTCTCACTCACTGTTTCTGATATGTCTCTATCATCTGTTAGTCCCATCATGTCACGAATTTCAAACTTCCTTAGCTTATCATCAAGATTATCTTGTGTTGTAGCTATGAAAAACAAAATTAAGCACTTTAAAAATTGTAGCACAGCTATAAATTTTTAATCAACTTTAAAGAACTTTTTTTTTCTTTTTTTTTTGAGACAGAGTCTCACTATGTTGCCCTCGGTAGACTGCTATGGTGTCACAGTTCACAGCAATCTCAAACTCTTAGGGTCAAGTGAATCTCTTGCCTCAGCCTCCCACGTAGCTGGAACTACAGGTGCCCACTAGAATGCCCAACTATTTTTTTGTTGCACTTGTCGTTGTTTTAGCTGGCTCAGGCTGGGCTGGAACCACCAACTTCAGTGCAAGTGGCTAGCACCATAGCCACTGTGCTACAGGTACGGAACCTCAACTAACATACTTTTAAGAATTACAGAAACTATGTGCAGGCCAAGGTGTGGCATCAGTGTGGAAGACATATGGATGCTGATTGCTTTTGCAGTGGGCAGGGAATAGTGTATGACATCTTAGGGGGAAAAAAAAGAACTGAAGAAACTATAAATAAAAATAAATTTAATCAACTTAAATTTATTCTCTCACTGAACACAGACAGCTTACATGCAAACACACTGCTTATCTTACAATCAAGTAAATTCTTTGCTTCTTAAACGAATGTGTTCAACTTCATTTTACCTTGTTCATGTTCTAAGAGCTGTAGAGCTTCAACTCCATTACTTCCAGAAGGTCCTGCTCCAAGTTCTGATACAGACTCTCCTTCCAGGTCTAAAGAGGACACTGAATTGGAGCGATTTGAAGGACCTAGAGAAATGTTTATTATATGAGCAAGGTTTTTAATAAAAGCAGTCATAAGCCACCATGCAATTTTTCATACCTTGATTAAGAGATGAAAGACTGATTAAAGTGCTTTTAATATTGCATTTATAGGCTCAGCGCCTAGGCTCAGTGAGTAAGGGCACCAGCCACATACACTGAGGGTGGAGGGTTCGAGCCCTGCCCAGGCCAGCTAAACAACAATGACAACTGTAATAAAAAATAGCCCGGTCTTGTGGCAGGCACCTGTAGTCCCAGCTACTTGGGAGGTTGAGGCAAGAGGTTGGCACTTAAGCCCAAGAGTTTGAGGTTCCTGTGAGCTGCAACACAACAGCACCTTACCCAGGGCCACATAGTGAGACTCTGTCTCAAAGAAAAAATATATATATTGCATTTATACCTTTAAAACTATTCATGTCCTTTGAGCTAGCAATTCTGCTTCTAGGAATTTCTCTAAAGAACTAATCAAAATGTAAACTAAGGTCATTTGTTGTGAACTTCTAATAATGTCTAAAAAGTGGAAGCAATCGACACATTTAATCACAGAAGAATGTTGAAATAAATTATTATCAGCTCATTTAAAGTTAAAGAAAAATGTCATTAAAAATCATGTCATTAGGCCAGGCACGGTCACTCACAACTTGTAATCCCAGCACTCTGGGAGGCTGCAGCAGGCGGATCACCTGAGCGTACAAGTTCAAGACCAGTGTGAGCTAGAGCAAGACCTTGTCTCTAAAAAATAACCGGGTGTTGTGGCAGGCACTTGTAGTCCTAGCTACTTGGGAGGCTGAACCAAGATAATCACTTGTGCCCAAGAGTTTGAGGTTGCTGTGAGCTATGATGCCACAGCACTCTAATGGGGGCAACAAAGTGAGATTCTGTCTCAGAAAAAAAAAAAATCATTTTATTTAGGTTGGGCACAGTGGCTCATGCCTATAATACCAGCACTCCAGGAGGCCGAAGCCAGTGGATTGCTTGACCTCATGATTTACAGAAAAGCCTGAGCAAGAGCGAGACCTCGTCTCTAAAAAGAAAAATAGGTGGGCAGTGAGGCACACATCTGTAGTCTCAGCTACCTGGGAGGCTGAGGCAAGAGAATTGCTTAAGCCCAAGAGTTTCAGAGTGCTGAGAGCTATGACACTGCAGCATGCTACCAAGGGTGATAAAGTGAGACTCTGTTCCCGCTCCCCCCCCCCAAAAAAAATCATGTTATTTAATCATGTTAAATTGGCTCGGCGCCTATAGCTCAACCGGCTAAGGCGCCAGCCATGTACACCTAAGGTGGTGGGTTCGAATCCCCAGCCCGGACCCGCCAAACAACAATGATGGCTGCAACCAAAAAATAGCCAGGCGTTGTGGCGGGCGCCTGTGGTCCCAGCTACTTGGGAGGCGGAGGCAAGAGACTCGCTTGAGCCCAGGAGTTGGAGGTTGCTGTGAGCTGTAATGCCACGGCACTCTACTCAGGGGGACAGCTTGAGGCTCTGTCTCAAAAAAAAAAAAAGAATGTTAAATTATAAAAGGAAATGTTACATTACTAAACAAAAAAAGATTACAAAGGAGCATAAACCTAATGTTGCTATAAATAAACCAAAATGCTAACTGCTATTAAAAGAAGGGTGAGATTATAGATGATTCTATTTCTTTTCTCCATTTTCTGGAATACATGTATGTTATGTATGAGTTTTTTAGAAAGTTTGTAAAAAGGAGAAGTTACTACATTTTGTTTTTTTATTTTATTATTTCTTTTTAAATGTTAGTAAAATCTGCCCTAGTATGTGGAATGACATTCTCACTTCACAATCTTGTCTTTTAATTTTCTTTTTTTATTCTTATTTCGATTGTATCCTGCTTCATGAAGGTTTGTGTGTGAGAATAAAGGAATCCAGAACTCCAGGAGTATACACAACATCCTGAAATAGTAAGTCTATTTTTCTCATTTAGACATGCATCATATCCTTCTAAAGGAGCTCTATAAGCTCTGCTGTATAATAATACTGGAGAAACAAAACATGCTATTATCCTATTTAAGCCTCAATGAAGACTTGTATCTTCTCAATTTTGTATGACCAAAGGCATCTTATAACCTTAATTTTATTCAAGAAATAGTCTTTACAGCCAACTGTTCAAGCTCATTAGAGGAAATCTTCATTACTCTCCTTAATGAGAGGCACAGATGGTATAATTATAATTTATAAGGCTCCTTTAAAGAACACAAAACATTACTTGAATCACACAACTCCTTGAATGAAGTAACCCTTCACCTTCAGATATTCCTTCCAGATTATCACTGCAGAGGGAAAAGCGCAAGGTTTTATCAGGTTTACCGTGGAGTTTGTTTTCATCGACAGGGACATCTCCTTGTCCTCCATCCGTAAGTTGCATGTTTAGGACCTGAGAAATAAAATGCCAATTTTGGTTTATTAACTGAAAGAATACTGATAAGAAAACAAACCATAGCAAATGCATATCTGAGACCTCCTTAATTTATCATTTTGAACTAAAATCCCACTTATAAGATCTGTCAAAACTTTTAAATACACGTGGAGTCAAAGTATATCTGTTAAAACAACTGAAGTTATGTCTTTCCACTACCCTGCCATGTCAGAGATATGAACAGGCAATCAGACTTCACCTGCGCAGGGATTAGAGCGAGACGAGCCAGAGGGCTATGGTATCAACAGGCTGGTCCTTCCTGTTCTGCCATGTATTAACTATTTAATCTTTTTTTTAAAATATGGAACGCTTCACGAATTTGCGTGTCATCCTTGTGCAGGGGCCATGCTAATTGTCTCTGTATCGTTCCAATTTTAGTATATGTGCTGCCGAAGCAAGCACTAACTATTTAATCTTGAATAAATTATTAAGCTCTCTAAGCCTTAATTTCTTCATCTATAAAATGACAATAGTAATATCATGTATCCCTGGAATTGCTGAGGATTAAATAAAAAGATACACATAAAGCATCTGGCATAGCATATAACCTACTGACTTTGCAATATATTTTTTCAAAAGTTAATAAATGAATTCAATCAGAAGAAAACATGTAATCACATTATCTTGCACCAGGATTTAATCAATCTACTTTGAATCTCTACTTGATCACACACAGAGCCATAAAAGTCCATGCCAGAAGCTGAAATATGACTTCCTAGCCATCTCCAGCATAGAGGTGATGGTCTTTTAATAATGCTATTTGCTGGATAATTTCCAAATAACATAATTACATCTCACTACTCCTGGGAAGCCTCATAACTCAACTTTGTATGTGCATTTCCACCTTAATGAAGAATTGAGTGCTTTGTTGGAAATCACATAGCATGGTTTAAACACTTAGAACTTGAACTCAC